CCAATCGTTTCAGTGCCACAAGTGTCAACTCGAATCAGGGGTTTGTTGTTTATTTATTTCAAAACTATAATACCAAAAGGAATCTACAAAATCTACAATTCAGATTGTCAATATTTTTAGACTATACTTGTCCTCTGAATCAGAAGTCGATCAAATCCATAATCAACGAGTTCTTAATGTCGAAATCAAACGGGTCCGAAGAACGACATCAACCACTTCTCAACGAGCACATCGTGCAAATCAAAGCGATTCAAGAACAGAGACCGGCTACGCTACAAATTGAACAGGTATTTTTTAAAAAATGCAATAATTTCTATGTAGAAATGAATTTCAAATGTAGAAATCAACGCCCGGTCCATCTTCTCCACTTGGAAACGCCGCATCCGGAGAGATCTGATTCATCGGAAAGAAGTGAGCTTATTTTTTAAACTTATTTTAGTTTTTATTTATTAGTTTGGGGTGCGACCCGCTTTAACCTTATCCACGAGGATGATTCTGCTTAAGAATGGCCGAATAGCACAAAAGGTTAAAAAAGGGTTTCCCCAAAAGCGCTTATAACGTAACAAGAACACGTAGTATCCAACAATAGATTAATACTCTTGAGAAGAGTACGGATCGGATTGATACTACGTCGATGGTGACACAAATGTTAGTAAAACCAGTCTCTCTACAATGTTAATGAGGGGGTTTGGAACGTAGGAACCAGTTATCTAAACAGGATTTAAAACCTGAAGGGTAGCATAAAGCAAAGTGAATTTATAACGTTACTGTTTATTAGTACAGAACCAAAATGCAACAATACCCATTACAAAAACAGCATGCGCATCAAAATGAAACAACAAAGTCCCCAAGAAAGAAGGCAAAAACAACCCGCAGACGAAAAAAAAGAATTTCGGGAAGGGAGAAAAGGGCGAAAAATGCGACGCGAATAATTTGCAAAATAGCAACGCAAATAGGAAGGAAACGGACGCGACCTATTAATTCTGTTAGCTTCCTTTGCACTATTTTCAAACCAAAACCCTAACATTTCGGTAGACAAAATGGTTCAAATTCATTAGTCTTTTGTTAGCGGAATTGTTGGATGGCTAAAAAGTTCTGTCCTAGTAGACTCATCCCTATAATAAAACTTGTGAAAAGTCTAAAGTATCTCATGTTTTAATTTTTACAACTTTTCACTCTACGCTAACCATATAAACTTGAAGATATGGAAAGTGTGATTTCAAAAACGTTTTTTAATATTATTTCCTTGAGCCAATACTGCTTTTCAGTTTTGTCGCGTTTTCAGTCTACAATTCGTTCTCTAAACCAGTTTTTATTTCCTTAAAAGCAAATTTTGAGCATCTTTCTGAAAGAAGAACGATTTTCTTTAAAACTTAACCAAAATAGTCAGATTGCTTCAAAAATTATCGGAATTTGAGAGCCTTAAATATTGTTAGTCGAGCCTAAAGATCCCGAGAGTTCAAGGGAGTTGCGTAAGATTGAGAAATGATTAAAAATGCACTTCAAAAAATTAATCCCTCTTTAAAACAAACATATATTTGTACATAGTAGAATTTAGATAACAGATCAATGAGTGCTAGAGGTCGATCACAGCTCCCAATTGCCATCAAATGAGACTGAAGTGAAAGAACAAATCGGGCGATCAAGGCAACGCCGACAAGAAAGCATTGAGAGGAACAGCGAGAGGAAAAGGAGAAAATCAATAGGTAAAACAAATTCAAATGAATTCCGATTTAAACATTTTTAGAGAATGTCGTCGACGTGAGAAAATTGAGAGGAGGAGCTGGAAAAGGAGAGAATGGGAACCGTTTAATGACGAATGACTACGTGAGTCCCTATGGATTCACGAGTGATCGAGGGTGGCCGCTAGTTGGTGGGTTTTATTTTCTCACTTTTAGAATTAGCTTTAAATGCTTCTCCTTTGGCTTTTCCTTTAGCTTTGTAATAGAAGTGACCAGGAGCCAGGTATTGGCCTGACTTTACTGACTTAGTTCAGGTTTAGGTCAGTCAACTTTGTAATAGACTTGACTAAGGAACAGAATTAGCAGATTAGAAGATGGTTAGCTAAATTTTAAAATAAATTAAATCAAGTAACCACTATACAAAGCAATAACAATAATATTAGCTTTGGGATTAGCTTCAAAAGTTATTTCTTTAGCTCCTGATCTTTCCCCATCTCGAGAGATGCCTCTCGTCCATCAAGTCGTGCTACCACTCCCCGCTCAAAATGTGATGATCATGAGGCACCCGGGAATATCTCTTATATTCAGGTTCATAAACAGCTTGCAGCATGATATTTGGGAGAAACCTCTGGGATTTTTTTGAGTTTATCAAACCAATTTCTCGATTCAGCATTGAGTTTTCTGTCGTCTGCCTGCATTCGTCTTTCATTTTTCTTTGGTGCTATTGTCGTGGTGATCAGTGGGTGGGAAAAGAAATGGGAAACGAATCTAAATTTATCTTTTCAAGAATTCTTCTATGCTTTTGATCGATTTCCCGTCAGAGAGTGAAGCCGATGAAGATGGTGGAGGAGGGGAATGCGAGGATGGCACTTGTTTCTGTCATTCAAAGGTAATCATGTGATAAATTGTAGATAACAATTGTAAAAGCTCAAAACCAACTAATTGTAAGAAATTGAACTGCTCTAAGCACTTACTGGTTTGACTAATCCATTTACCTAGCACTGAAAAACCCAGGCGGATCTTGGACTTAGTGGATCTTTTAGTTTCGCTTCAACTTACTAACTATATCAGATACAATTGATTGGATAACTCATTGTCTTGAAATCTACTGTCAATCTACCGACGACTACGAATCTACTTGAAATCGACACTTGATCAACCAGTAGTTTCGTTTTTTGACTGCACTCAATAGTGTTTACTTTTGAAAGTTTCGGAGTGAACCAGCGTTCCTTTATAGTTCCTTTATAGTTCCTTCCATAGTTCCTTCCATAGTTCCTATTTGGAGTCCCTGGACTTAATTCCTTTATAGTCCCTAATCCTTGACTCCTTGAATAATAAATATTGAATCTGCTCCTTGAATAATCCTTGATTTTATCTCACCACATCTCTACTAAACCAAATTCTAACAGAACATGTAAATTCGTTCAAAATATATACTTCTAATGATCCCCGTTTCTTTCTGAATTGGACTTCTTTTCCGCATTTGTCGCACTTTCTGTTCTTGTGGAAGATTTCTTATCAGGGAGTAGATCTAGTCGATCTCGTCCGCGAAGGTTTGTTGCACATCAGCAATCGACTTCAATGTTGACAGCATCCTAAAAGGTCCTCCTTCTCCTTTACGGGAACACCTATCTATCGAGGACGTGTGCCAGACGACGAGCCTTTGCCCGACCGCACAAAGAACGCCTCACCAGTGATCTAGAGATTTCCCTTTTGCTTTGTAGATGATACAAAAAGGAGATATTGAGCTTAAATTTCTTCCGGGGGTTTTCGAAATCGCGAATCGATTGAAGCCATGCATTTTATTGAGTCTATCAAATTGAGTACTGGTTTAGCTAGTCTAAACTGTTAGACAAACTTGGAAACTTAATAGCTTATCTTGGAGAGGAGATTTGAAGGAAATTGTATTTGTAGCCAATTGTTGCGAACTCATAAATCTAAATACACCTTTTCTAGCGCGCATTATTGCCCTAATAGTGGGAATGGCTGAATTAAGTACGCCAGAAAGGTTGCGTTTTGATTTTGAGCAAGAAGTACACTTTGCTGAATAGCCTTGTTGGGACTAGCGTTGTTGCTGGCTCTCTCAATAGAAGCTGATCAACTTTTGAACCTATTCTTTATTCTTAATCTTTATTTAAACCGAATTCATCTCATTTTCCAGAGTCCGAAGCCGTGAAGCGGTCTCTCGCAGTAATCGTCGTCAAATGGTTGAGATCAGCCCGATTCACCGCATCCAAATATTTTGCCACCATTTAACATTTTATAAACAATTTGAGATCCTACCCTAAGAACAATTTACCTAACATTTCTCATTTTACCCTAACACCCCAAAAACGTCAACTAGTCAATCACAAGCATTTTCCCTACAGACTGTGATATTTTTTTTTTTTTTTCCAAAAATTTCACTTGAATTTTTACTGGTAACGCGCAGCTTTTTTTTCGATTTGTTAGCATTAAATTTCCATAACCGTTGTCTTGCATATCTGGCAAACTGACGCAACCGTGCCAGAAAAGCGAGCGTTTATGCAAATCGATTTTATGTATTTTGGGTTTTTTTGTAGATCTCGAGAAGCTTTTTATTTGTTTTTGTTTGTGCCAAAGATTTTGCGAATTGTAAAGAAATTTACAATCTATACTGAGACCAAAAGAAATGAAGTTTTCTGAACTGACTTTCGTCTCGAAAAGGCACTCTCGATACTGAAAATCAATGAATAACAAGAAGAGAAAAAACAAGTTCTTGAAGCTCAAAATTGAATGGATATTACTAAAAATCTTGTGAGACACAAATAAGTAAAAGCTGTTAGAGGTAGAAAGAGGAACTTTGACGAGTTCGGACCCACGGCGTCGACTCGAACCCGAAAAAGCAAAAGTGACGATTCTTGCAGATGCACTCACGCATGTCCAAGTTTTTATGAAGTTCCGCAGTGGAGTTTGTTTCTAAAGTTTTAAAAACAAATGAAGCACAAAATTGACCAAGTTTTGATTAGATATATCCAATGGAGTTGTGATTGGCTAAATTACTACAACTGGCTAAAATTGGCTAAACAATTCGCTAAACTGGGCTAAAATTGGATAAACAATTGGCTAAAATTTGTCTTAGCAATCTAACACCGCCACTAGATTAAGCAGCGTTTACAGGCCATCTTGGATATCTATTAGATTGGCGGTTCAAGGTAAAAAAGGAAAGCTGAGGTAGCACCAGAAACTCAGCTACTACCCTGATTCCTTTGACTTTGCTGATTAGTTGCTTAACATTTCTTTTTCTTTCTCTTTTCTTTCAGTTTGACTTATAGCCAGTGTCATTTTTCTTGAAACTCACGATTTGCAGTGATTCTCCTCGAGTTGCTCAAACTGTTTCACATTTACGGCCCCGAAATTCTCCGAGCAACCACGGAGCACAAAGGACGCCCCTGAAAAGGTTTATGGCTATTTCTTTTGGTCTTGAACTGATCTTTCTATTGATCTTTAAAGACTGCAGCAAATCAAGTAAATAATAATTTAATCACGAGCTAAATATTGCTCTGTGAACTAGCAGAACTAGTAGAACTCAGATTGATGAGTAGTGTTTTCATGTGAACCCAATTCCACCTTCAACCAAGTTCAAGTCTTGTGGGTTGCTTTAGCGGAAGAGTGGGCCGATTGCTCTGAAATTTTGTCTACAGATAGAAATCGGAGATTCTCAGCTTGTAGACAGTACTTTGGAGCAATCGGCCAAGAAGCGGCTTCGAGAAAACGAAGGTGGAATTAGGTTCGGGTTGGAATTCTTCCCTAATAGAGCCAAATCTTTCATTGACAACAAGCCATGTAGCTCAACAAAAAGTTTAGGAACAAAAGCTGGGACTGCCAGCTTTATAAATATTTGATAGACCTATAATTTAGATAAATCTAAAGCTTTGCTAGCGTCACATTTTCCCAACCTTGATTATGATCGGTGAGTACGAGGGTTTGACAATATCGATGCAAACATTTCTCTCGCACCAATTTTCGAGACATTTTTCCCTTCTGCACACTCGCGATTGATTTTGTCTGAAAGCCCTATTGATTTATTTTCAAATCTTTTTCAAACCTCTTGGATATTCGGTCCGCCGGACGTCCAAGAAGTTCCTCACCGACGTCTGCATTCTCTCTGGGAGAGCATTCCCAATGGGGTTGCACAAGAGTAACACCAATTCCCACCATCCATCTCATCTAAAAGTTTAAATTGATAAGCTTTTTTTTTTTTTTACCTTTATATATACGATTTTAATTTATAAAGACATACCAAAGGCTGTCTATATAAATTTATCTACAAATTTCCTTCTTTTGTTTGGACCTTGTTCAGCATATTTGTCGGATCGACTTTTCTCCCTCTCAATGCCTGGGCTTTTGGGGGGCTGTTGTACAGCCATATCATAATCATAAGTCGGTTCAGGTTGTCTTCTTTTCACCTGATATTGTTTCCTAACTCCACCATAAACACTACTCTGTTTATATTTCATTTGAGTTGCTGGTTTTGAGCCTCATCATCGTAGTAACGCTTTTCTTTCATCCATGATCTAAAAGGGAGTGCTTTTACTCACTTTTTCACATTTTCTCTATTTCGACGCCTTCATAAAGACGATTATTCATATTTTCATGGTTTTACTGGAATTTCTACAGTTTCTTCAATGTATTAGGGGTTTATAAAAAGAAACTGCGCATGACTTCTCTCGAACAATATTTTTCTATTTGAAAGTGCTCTAACCCAGTTTAAATTTTGGCCTTATTGTGTTGATAACGCTTACTTATTTTACTGATTTTCACATTTGTTCTGATCATTGAATTATAAATAATTTTGGTTGTCGAAGATGACGGATCAAAAATTCGTTTTTGCGGGCTTGCCTTCCTCTATGACTTTAATGAAGAAATCTTGCATTAGATCCTCCCTGATCTTTGTGAAGCATTTGGAGAAAACGTTTTGGAAGTGAAAGAAGTTTGTCAGAATGGTTCCGGCGTTTTCGTGAAGGAGGTGAGGGCTTGGAAGACGAGCCCCATGGACATCGTCCTGTTGTCCTCGATAATGCCAGGTAACTCAAAGTTGTCAGTCGGATCCAACTCAAACTTTGCCCGAATTAGCCAAATACTTTAAAATAGTTCGAGCTTGATTTCTCGATTCCTTCCACTTGTGGAAAAGGAATCATTGTGGCCAATGGGTCCCACATGGTGTCCCCTGAAAGTAAAACCAATTGAGTTTTATTGTCATCCGAGTTTATTGAAAAAGGCTACAGGCAGTGCTTTTTTTGTTTGCTTATGTTGACGATGGACGAAAAGTGGATATATTTCAATATTCAACTCGCAAAGACCAATGGTTGAGCAAGAGAACAAGGCCGGATTCCCATCACATCCAGAACTTCACGGAAAGAAAATTTATGCTATCGGTCTTTTGGAATATGAAGGAATCGTTTATTTTAAACTACAAAAATCTTCAAAAACCGCAACTGCAAAAACTACGCCGAAGAGAGCTGAAGAAAGTTGATGAAATTCTACGTGAAGGAGTGTTGAAATCCCTAGAGAATCGTTACTCAACTCACAATTTCCGGGTACAGACATCCGACTTGGCTCAACCACGATAGAAGAATGATGGGTTGGGTCTTCTGCCTCATCCGCCATATTTCCCTGATATCGCTCCACTCAAGATTACCACTTGTTCCGATCTATGCAGCATAACACAAATCAACAGTTTAACAATTACCAAGAAGTCGAAATTTGGGTTACCAAGACTTATTTTGCGTCACAAGATCCAGGATCTCGAGATCAGGCATCCGAAGTCTACGTAAAAAATGGAAACTATAGTTGATAATTTGGCGGTACCTTTTGGAATAAAGTCTTTTATTATTAATTTTCGAGGTGTTTGAACGTTGCGTATAATACGCAGTTTCTTTCCCCAAACCCTAATACTTTACTTCTAATCAAAACTAGAGTCTTTGTAAAACATTGCTAGACTTGGTGTATTAGTATAACTTGGACAAACGGTGGAGGTGTTGTTCACTGGATGGCCAATTGTGAATTCAATTTTCACCAATCAACCAAGTTCAGTTCAATTTTTTACATTACTTGAGTTCAAGGACTTGTTTTGTATCATTTGGAACACCGATAGAATCAATCTTTTGAGGAGAGAAGGATCGATATCGGCCCGATTTCACGCTCGGTTACTCTGGAAATACCTTTTCTCAGAGCCGAGGCAAAGATTTGTTTTGGAAGAATCGATCTCTAAGTTTTCCTTCCATTTTTCTACCAAGCTAGTAATGGATTCTAGAAAGGGAGGCAGAAAGACATTGCCTTTTTAGAGGAGGTTAAAAACTGCCACCTTGCCCTGAAGAAAGGAATTCTCAATAGATGACCTTGAACGTCCTCTCATATAGAAAATACGGGTGGAAATAAAACAATTTGCATTATATTTTGGAAAGTCAGCAGGTTTGGTAGAGGAAGGTGAAGAACATAACTTTACTCTTTTAAATTCTTTAAGGATTCAATGACCTTGAAGTCTAGAAAGCGGATAGGTAAAGTAGATTAGGATTAGGCGTCTAGCCAAGGATAAAAAGTCTGAGGAGTTTAGTTGTTGAAATTGGCAAAGTTGAAGAATCCAGGTTTTGGGCTTTTTCAATAAACAAAAGCCTTAAATTAACCAAATCCGAACCAGCTTAGCACGTCCTATCATCAAGCAAAGAAGGCGGGTAAATTCTTGAGTAAAGAATTTAGGATTGATTGTGAAAGTATTAAAATTCATCTTTGATCAAGATTTGATGGATTACAAGCATTTTTAAATAATTCTTTTCTAAATCTAACATACAAATTTACAGCTAAACTCTAAACCGATTCACAAAAGAAGCGATTCACAACGATTCACGCACAAAAGATTCTCAAACAAAGTTTTTCTTCGAATAGGAAGCTTAAACTGGGTATGAAAAACGATGTAGAATCAAATAAATACTTGATTTTGAAAAATAGAGTCATTTTTTAGCTCCAATCTTCTACCATTTTGTATCCGTTGCGTTTCATCATCCTCATTCCATAAATGCACAGTTTGAAAGAAAATCGATCCAAAAAGAAAAGGAAAAATCGTAGAATCATGATTAGAAAACAGAAGAATAGATATCAAGAAACTAGCATTAACAATGTTTTTTTGCCGGTGTGATGCACGATCGATTCTTGGGTGACTGTTATGCGTGAGGGGACTGGAAGAGCGGCGCCTGAAAAGGAATGGAGAGGAGACAGAGGGATACTCTCTCCCCTCCTATACACCCTCCCCGCCTCCATCCCCCTTCCTTTTCCCTCCTCTTGTACTATAGATACTCCCACTTTTTGGCATATAGGAGAGACCTTGCTCCTGTTTCTATCTCTACATCTCTGGGTTTTCGAAAAAGAGGGTGAATTCAAATAAACCACGAAATGTGGCTAATCGTTTCGAAACTCGTAAAATAATGATGATTTTTGTGAACAGAAGAACTTTGTTATGGAAGATAAGGCTTGGATTAAGCGTTACCCAGTTAGACTCCGGGGGTCTTACCAAAAAATGGAGTTTTCTTACATAGTGTGAAATTTCACCGTGTGATCGTAATATGTAATATTATGATCGAGCTGGATCGGGCTTTTCCTATTCTTTCAACAGTGATTTCTTCAAGCTTTTTGATGTTTTGGTGGAGTTTTGAACAAGCTTGTGGTTTTCGGAACCGAGACACCGAAAAATCCGTGGGTTGGGGGGTCTGGAGAGCTAGGTGGCCCTCGGAAAAGAGGCCAGAGTCCGAGAGTTGTTTTGGCAGAATTCTTGGACTTTTTCTTAGATTATGGGTCGGTGCGCCATCTTGCTGATAAGGCGAATCTCGATTTCCAAATGTTTACGACCCCAGGGCAAGAGTTCCATCCTTGAGAGCCCAGGTAGTTATTTGGAATTGACTTTCCACGCCGTGGGGATGAGAGCAAATATGAGAGGTCTTTCCTATTGCAGTGATGCCATCGAAAACCATCACAGAAGCTGGATGTGCACTTCGAGAAACCGTAGCGTTCGTTTGAGATTTGTTGCATCAGCAATTGTTTCCCGCAGCTGTCGTCGCGTTGAATAGTGCGAATAGGGTTACAGGGCGTGATACCTTGTTGCGACCATCTGTGTCGGGTACTAGGCTGCAGGCTACTGAGCTATTTAAAGTGCTAGACTCTTTTAAATAACAGACTTTTCAAGATACTTAGATCTATTACTTGAAATAGCTTTTTTGGGCAGAATAGTTCCCCCTATTGCGGATTTTGGTACTTAATAAATGTTTCAACGGAACCAGAATTCAACTTTATCACTGGATCCACTAGGCTCTTAAGGTAAAACCAACTCTACGAGTATCATCGATCCCTCATTGAGGAGTCCCAGTGTATTCTCGCTTCGGATCAATGGCCTCTCGATCTCATTCCACTGGCTGACAGGGGTGTCATTAGCTCTTTTTTTGTGGACATTCAATGGGAGAAGGGCAGAATGTCCTTCACGGTCGATCTCTCCCTCTTTCTCCCTCATTTCCATTCACTTCTTCACCCCCCACTCATCGCATCGACACTCTTCCCATAAACAATGCGAGCCAAGGTCTTAGGAATTCGATTAATCAATGACTATTAGATTGTTCGGAATAGAACTACAAGAAAGTTTCACCAGTTTGAGTCACAAGCGGAAGTTTCCCCAGTACAATTTTCCTGGAAACTTGAATGCAAATTAGGATACACTCATCGGGTTCAAAGTCCTTTCTAAAAGATGTACTTCGGAAAAAATTACCATGCTATGTTTGGTGTAAGCTATGTTTGGTGAACAACTAAATTCAGCCTCATTACTCATAATCTAGACTCTCCTCGATCAAAGATCAAGAAACAGCATAAAAATAAGTTTGCCTTGTGATTCTCATTTTCCTCAAACCATTAGCCCTCTCCTTTCCCACTCGTTTTGGTGTTTCATGGTACAAATATCAATATCGAAGTGATATGAGGGCTAGTTGTGTGGTCACTCTTTGTTGTGAAATGGCCGAAAGGAGAGGGCTGAATGGCGCAAATGGAGCGCTGAATTCGGTGATTTTGTCGAGGTGAAGAGAAAAAAGAGGAAATGTGCGAATCGAATCCATTTTGCATTCACTCGTGTCACCACCATTTCATCGACTCTATTTGGAATACAAAGAGAGATACGAGCGGATGAGGGGGAATGGTGTAATGTACGGGATGACTGGAGTTCGTGACAAGAAATGCATTTAAAAGGCCAAAGACACATATGTCAAAAAAGTTTACTTACTTTTGCGTACTTGTAAATATAAACAAGTATTAATGCAAACAAATTGTTTGAGGAAAAACTCATTTGGATAAGTTGATCTTGAAATTTTAAATCAAAATTGTTTGATCATGTGGTGGATAACTTTGAAATGTTCAAGTTGACACTTTTTCTATTCAGTTTTGGGGGGTGGGACAAATGCTACCTTTTTTTGCGCACCTTTTGCTGGAAAGGCCTTAGGAAAGGTCGTAGAGCTTCAAAAATGTTCTCATATACGGGAATCGTATGCGTAGATTCCGAATTTCGACAAATCACACCTCGCTGACACGTCAAATTTGGACTAAAAGGCAAAAACTACAAAAACTACGCAACTTAACGCTTTTCCGCAGTTTTTGCCTTTTAGCCCAAATTTGGCGTGTCAGCGAGGTGTGATTTGTCGAAATTCGGAATCTACGCATACGATTCCCTTATGTGAAAACATTTTTGAAGCTCTACGACCTTTCCTAAGGCCTTTTCCAGCAAAAAAAAGGTGCGCAAATGTCCAGGTGCGCAAAAAAAGGTCGCATTTGTCCCAGCCCCCAGTTTTGTGATTTTCGAAGCTGAAGAAATCCTCCCAATCAAAACGCTGTACGGATGGCAAATGTTTTATTTTAATTCAAAATCATATTCAGTTTTTGTATTGAATATCATTGATGCATTTTTCGATATTAAAATCAGGAATAAATTTCTTTCTGCCATTTCTCCGTCATTTACACTAACATCTTCACAGTTCTCTCTTTGTAGTTCGTAATCTTTTTGCCAGCTGATTTCGAGAGAAAAGTGTCAATAGCTAGGTAAATAAGCAAATCCACTACGGCGTTGTTTATTTTAAATAAGCAAATCACAAGACGCTTTGATTTTTGTTATTACTTGTTTTCGTCTTTTCAATTCATTCTAATGTTAGCTTTTAGATGGTACCATCTCTATTGTTCCTCATGGTTCTTCTACTATCGACAACAAGTGCTATTGAGCCGACAAAACCTGCGACAGAGGCGGCAATAGTTGGTGGGTTTTAGATTTGAGTTAAAGTTTAAAGTCAAGAATAAGATGTAAACGAAATAAGATTAAAGTCTAAGGGAACAAGAATAAGATAAGATTACGTGACTGTATGTGTTTCGAAAATTGAAAGCTAAAGTTAAGACGCTTGTAGCGATTATGCAAAACTTCTAGTTAGATACTTTATTACATTCCTACATTTTTGCGATAAAAAGATACGGGATTCGTTTGATCATAAATATCATAATAAGACTATTTGCTATCATGCAAAGCTTTTGTACGGAAGACCTTTTAATGATATTTGTTTGATCAGACGTCAAATTAGTTCAATTTCTATCCTGTATTAATTAGTTTGTTTTAGCTCCCGCTCTCCTTTCACTCGACGCCGTCCCACCTTGCTTCCGGAAGTGCTCCGAAGAATATTTCACGAATTTGGAAAACCACTACCTCGCAGGCAATTTGGAAAGTTTTATGGTTTCATCTTGTAGGTGAGTTTTTCAACTATTACTCGTAAAATTTTCGATTTAGCTCGCTACCAAATGTCGTTCGTTGTTTGAACGCCACATGTGAAGTGAAGGTTCATCGAAATTTTGCAATTGGAGCTCTTTCTGGAATTGAAGTAAACTTGGGGATTATTCTTTTAAAACTTCAACTTTTAGTATCTTTGCTCGCAAGCACAAACATTTGCAGGAGTACTACCTTGTTCGAAAGTCTACGCGCATATTTCTGAAAGTATGTTTCAAAGAGTTAAACTGATTCTTTATTGGCCGAAGTTGTAAGTTAGATGATAGATGATTATTTTGGCCTATTTTAATGTTGAGTTAATCAGCAACTTATAAAGTATAATTAAACAGACGCTTTACTGCTCAAACAGTTAATTACACCTCATACACGTTTTTTTCAGGATGCAGCCACTGTAATTTGTACAAGTCGACTCGCAATCTACTCAACTCAAAGGAAGTGCGCAGAATTCTCCGCAAATCGTCTAGCGCTTACGAAGTGCTCTCATATGCTGGCGACTTTTGTGGGTTTGTGGATTCATCAAGAATTTCAGTAACAAAATTTAGAAATTTCACTTGTTCTCTTTTCTGCATGCGGGATTATGTAGACACTTATTGCATGAAGAATGGTGCCAAATTTGTGGTGGGTTTCAAGAAACTGCCACACTTTTTAGACTTTTCTTTAGGAAGTTTTTCTTCGACCACTCTCTCGTCTCTACGCAACTTATATGTCATCAGCGCCGGAAGATCAACGAATTTTAAATGCACAATTGCCTAAACAATGCCGACGACTGATGACAAAAGACACGGTAAGAATTGGTTAATTCTTAAACGCAACCGTGGTGCTATGTTTCAAAAAAACATGTTCAATTCGGTTTTAAATCAAAAGTCCTCTTCTAATGCAAGTGCAACTTGAATTTGTTCACGGAATAACGTTAGAGCTTAAAATTTATCAAGTTTTGCAAAAAATTCTAGCGCATGGCTCCGAGTAAAGCTTTTGAGCGCTGTAAATCTAGAACTGCACTAACAATAAGTTTACAAGGCAAGGGTGTTTCTTTCCTTTATTATTGGCATAATCCATTTATTTTAGCTGAAGACTCTCTTCTTTGATGATGACTTTATTCGAGAATTGAATGAATGGGTTGTCGCACACAAGCGCGCACAATTGGAGCGTGCACACCGAAAGAAGAATCCGACGACCGAATTCAAGGTGAGTATTTTTTATGTTTTTAAGTTCTAACTTTTACTTTAGGGTATCAAGGATCCGTTCTTGGAATTCTTGAAGTCGCTCGAGCGTCCATTTTATTACGGTTTCATCCCATTCTGCTTGGTGCTCAACTTAATTGCTTTGGTGATTAGTATTGTAAGTTTTTATAATATACTAATCTATGCTAAAGGGCCGTAAGCGTATTGGGTGAATAAATTTAGATATATGGGTTTTTTTATTAATTATTTAACTCAAATTATCGAATATGTAATTTTCATTTTAGATTTACTGCGTTCGAACAACGGAAAGCGTCCGAAAGGCTTCATTGATACAAGTTGAGAGAAACCCGGGCAACTACATGGACCTCCGAAAGAAAACGATCAATCACATACAAACGCAAACGCGAAGACACATGAAGAATCTTTAACGACTTGTGAATTATCAGTTTGCATTTTAAACATTCTATTGGTCAGGTATGAGTTTTTAAACTTTGACAATTTTATTGTTTACTTTTTCACTTTTCTTCCAATCATGCATTACTAAGTTATGATCTCGTGTACAGCATTTGTGATTCTTTGATGCTTATTTGAGTGCTGTTAAAGCTTTTCATATAAGTGGGTGAGTAAATGACCTTTTTATTAAAATATTTACAGGGTTTAGGACTTATTCTTCATCTTCTTCATTCTCCTCATCGTCGATCGCCTTGTTTTCATAGTGGGAGTGAGGATTGACCATGTTGATGACCTCTGGTGGTAGTCGAGAACGGTAAACCTGAAACAAAATTTCAGGATCTGTTTTAAGATGGATTGCTCGTACACTTTGCGTAAAGTTTCTTAGTATTTTTGACCTACCAAGTAAACAACCAAAGTGATCACAGTCAGTCCAGCGAGCACACCGCCAACAATGATTGGCACTTTGTCGGTGTTGTGCTGATCGGCTGGACACGTCTCGCCTGAAAATGTTTGTATTTCGCATTTGCCTTCATGTTAGCAAGTTTGCTAAACCACACCTTTAAATTACTTGAATAATTGATTTGAGATAATACAAATAAAACAAACTTTGATCAAAATTCGATCCACTTGAAATCTTGAAAGCCTGTAGTTTGAGAAGACTGAATTGAATGCTAAAATTAGATCATTCGAAATATCTTTCAGTATTTTTTTTACTATGCAAGCGGCCCTTTCTTGATATCGTCGTTGATCGCGAATTTCTGCTTGCTTGGACAGTTGAGTGAGTAGGATTTCGAAGCATAGATTGTATCAGCGAGATCCGGTGGATTCTTTGGATCAACGTATTGCACGTAGGTGTGTGCTGAAAAGCTTAAAGTAATGAGTGGATACAAAATAGTTTTGGAAAAGTTCTTATTTGAAAGATGTTAGCTGACTTACAATCTCCAGACGGATTGACGAAATGTGGATCGCTCGTGTAGTTTGCTGTGATGTTTACCTGAAACATTGTTTAAAGTATATCGATCGATCATGATCAGAATCAAAATCGAATTAGCAATATTGTGACACTTTGCGATAACAAACTTGATAAAGCATCCATTGTCGATCGCCGAGATTGAGCGCTTCCGTTTTCGTAAATGTAAATGCCGCTTTCCAGCCGGGCATCTGGAAAAAAGTTTGACTTTGCTTAGATTTTCGTGATCTTTTTATTAAACAAACTTGTTAGTAAAGCCTTTTTAGAAACCATTTAGCAAAAAAACACAATTTGAATCTCATTGTGAACTATAGATCTTTTTCTTCCGAATACCGTTGAATGGTTTCACTGCATTGTTTTTCTCTACCCTCTACCCTGAAAACTTACGTGATCGAAATCGAGGACGAGTTGCTGCGAATCTTTTGCCTCTCCATTGATGTACACTTTATCATTGCAGTTACCACTAGGCGTTGAGGCGGCAGGAATTGTAAGAGAGACATCTTTCTAAATTTTATGCATTTCTGCTGACATTGGTAAATAATCTGTTTCAAATTCGCTTCATTTCCATAATTGTCAGTAAGATTTTCTTCCCTTTTAATGAAAAGTGGCAAAAAGCCGGTTTTTCCTCATCTTTCAATAATTTTTTCTAAGCGCTGGTTAATGCTAAAAATATGTGTTATCTCAAAAAATCACTCATCCTCTCTACTTTAATTTGATAACTAAGCGCGAAAAAACAAACGTCTGGGCGCTGAGAAATGAGCGGTTCTTTAAGAGTAAACTTAGACTACGCGACGCTCTTATAACCGCGCTTCTATTAGAGTATTTACTCTAATACTTAACGAGCAGAACTGTTTCAAATACCGTAAAGCTTCAGTTCCTTGACTCACAGTATATCTGCGCAAAAAGCATTTCATTACCTACAGATATTTACACTGAATTCTACTTGAAAGACATCTTTAATTTATTTTAAATAGTTACTTTATGAACTCTGAAGTAAACTTTAGCTTTTAGGTCTTGGGAGCTTTTAAGTTGCGGCCACTGGAAATCGTCCAATGAAAATGAAAATGAAAATCATCCAATCGTCAAAATTCGACGCAAATCTCACCTGTTCTTGTGCTGTTCCCGAATAGTAGGAGAGAGTGAGATCAATCTGTGCATACATGATAATGCAGTTTCCTCCGGTAGCTCCGTCAACGAATGTCCATTGTCCTCTTTGAGAGGCGCTAGCACCAGCCGCTTGACAACCACGAAACAGAAGGAAAACTGAAATGATACCTATGCCCGTATCCATGAACGTTTCAAACGGTTTGGTATTCCAAATGCGAAAAATTCCAAACCGTTTCACTAAGCGATGAGTTAGTTTTTGAATCTATTTTTTGGAGTTGTTATGCAATGGATAATTGTGTTCAACTATTTCAAAAAAGTATCTCAAAGAGTGAAATCATCGCTTAGTAAAATGGTTTGGAATTTTGCGCACTTGAAATTCCAAACCGTTTGGAAAGTTCATGGATACGGGCACTGATTGCTTTTGATAAGCTTCGATGGCGATTAATCCGAAAACGACAATCCAAAAGTCGTATTGAGATTTTCAATCACAAAGATGAAGTCACCTGTCGATATTAGCAGCAGCATGAATCAAGAATAATAGATCTAAACAAAAATCACAAGAAATAATCAATCAATCGAAAGAAATCTCAACGATTCTTGTTATCAGCCGGACTTGCGCTTTCGGAAATTAATATGGTCATAAAAGACCAGTAAAAATTTCTGACAAGGGACTTTGACTTGTCACCAGTAGGCGGAAATTTCGAATTCTTTTAGATTGCAGAAAATTTACAGAATTCTCTGAAACTGAATTATCGCTTGAGAGAGTTTCACTCGAAAAATCGATCGCTTTCTTGCTAGCAATGGCCTTATCTGATTAGAAAGAGCAAGAGCAATGACTAGAAACTAGTCACAAAAGAAAAAGAAGCAGACAGTCGGTAATAATTCCAAATAAATGCAGCTTTGGAAACGGGAGTGGGACAAATACGACTTATTTTTGTGCACCCGAACATTTAGGCTTAGCAACATTTAGCAAAGTAGGCTTTGCTCTCGGGTATGCTTTGCGTTTTCGCGTTCTCATTCTCGTCGTTCGCTTCTCCACTTTCTCCGGTTGACCATCATGCAAGTTTCCCGGTTGACCATCATGCAAATTCTCCGGTTGACTATCAATTAAGTTCGCCGGTTGACCATCATTCAAGTTGTTTCCTTGCTCGTCGTTGTAGACTCGTAAATGTTCCCGTTCCTCCTCGAGGAAGCCGTTCAGCTCATTTTCTCGACGATCTCTCATTCCGCGAATCCGTTCACTCATCGTTACCTAAAAAATATTATTTAGATAGAAACTGGCAATTGAAAAGTGATAAAAAAGAAAACAGAAAAAAATGGGAATGGGACAAATGCTACTTATTTTTGGACAGCCGAACATTTGCGCCTTTTTCTGCACACTCTGCCTATTAGCGCACCTCTTTTTTTTAAAAAGCTCTAAAAAAGCTAATATTAACAAATTTCTCTTCAAAAATTTGTTTTTCTAGGTGATTTTAGGGCGTAGAATTTAAATTTTGATATAGAAGAGCTTGTGGAAGCAAACGGATGGAGTTATGCATAGGGAAAAGCGACAATTCTCTGTAATTTGACCTCTGTTTCTCTTTATCTGGTCTTGGTCTTGGTCTTCAAATTGGTCTTTCAAACTTGAGGCTAAGCTTTATACACAAAGAATTACCTAAAAAAATTTGTGTTTTTTTTAGTTTTCGATCTATTGGGTTGATGGAAAAGTCCTTTCCGATTTTTTGGGAGAGTACCTTAAATTTGTCCAATTTTGACGTTTTATAGCTCATCCTAAAGCTGAATTTAAGACGGATCGATTGGTAAAAACCGTTTTGAGATATCTCTTTTTTTAAAAAGTTTCTAACAGCTATTTTAGTAAAGGGCGTTTTCAGAGAAAAACGAGAAAAACGAAGGAAAATCGCGAAAAGCGGCGGAAAGGCTATTGATCTGAGGGTCGCTGGTTCGACTTTCACCGGTGACAATATTTTTCAAAAATTTGTTGCTAAGATTCTGAAAATGCGTGTATAGGGGTTATTTTTGACGCTGATCACGAAACACATGTTTTTAGCCTAGGTTTCTGCACGGAAAACTAACGAAACGTGAAAACAGTCATTTTTTGGCTCTGCCGCCCTTTACTAAAATAGCTGTAAAAACTTTTAGAAAAGAGATATCTCAAAACAGTTTTTACCAATCGATCCGTCTTGAATTCAGCTTTAGGATAAGCTATAAAACATCAAAATTGGACAAATTTAAGGTACTCTCCCAAAAAATCGGAAAGGACTTTTCCATCAACCCAATAGAAAGGCTCATTTGAAACTTGGAGTTTTTCCAATTGAACCTTAGAGCTTATGAATCAAACCAAGCCAAAATTAGGTACATTTCTGAGAAAGATGATAGAAAATTCAATAACTTATTGAACTTATTTATCGATAAATTGAATATTTTATTGATAAATTGAACTTTTTATCGATAAATTGAACTTTGACAAGACAAAGATTGAATTTTTGACCAGACTTTCGTTAAAATTTTATCCACATATCTTTAGGTAGCTTTCTTTAGGCTTTAGCTTTCTTTTTCTTCTTAAACTTTGAAATTCCCCCACTCAAATCCAATGAAACATAAGTCTTTAAGCTTTCTTCTCAAAAAAAAGCCTAAATTTCAAGTTTCAAATCAAATCTTCCCCAATTCGATTTGTCTCGAGACGTTCCTTTCTTTCTCTTCATTTGAAGAGTGAAATCTAAAACGAAAGGGTTTTTTTGCCCAAAGAATTCAGCAGACACAATTTTTGTGGCAATTGAGGCCCACTCTTTCGGAAATAACACCTCCAAAATCCGGAAAAGGAAGAAATAAAAGAGGAAGGGTGAGAAAAGAAAAGAAACCAAAGAATTTCTCATTTTCACTATGGTTTATTTTAAAAGAAATAAAGCTTAAAGAATTATTTAGAGAAAACGCTTTAAAGAAGCATTTTGAAATGTCAACTTTTGTTGTATAAAAGCAAACGGTTTCGCATTCGGTTTATAATATCTACCGTAAATACTGTAATAGTACCGCACCCCCATAACGACGGTGCAGAGCGTTGGGTAGTCTAGCTTTGAACGAGTGTTTCTCGACACTGGTTTATGTTACAATGCGCGCTTAGGTATCAAAAAATAGCCCTCAATTTCAGCAATTTTTTGATACCAAAGACGCATTTTTTGAAAGTACGGGTGCTTTGAAAAAAATGAAATACTAAAAAACTTTCGCGACTACGCGACTGTACGAGGGGAATGGGGTACTATTATAGAATTTACGGTAATTATGCCTCAAACTTTACTGTAATAGTACCCCAGCCCCCTCGTACAGTCGCGTAGTCGCAAAAGTTTTTTAGTATTTCATTTTTTCAAAGCAGTCGGCAGAGAACCCTTATAATTATGCATGTTTCAGGTTTAAAATGAAAATGCGAAAATTTGGAGCCGAAGGCCTTTATAAGGGTTCTCTCACGGGTCTCCGAGGTGGGTTGATAGTGTAGTGGATCCAATGCTGGCATACGAGGCGAGCGCTGATTTTTCTTGCTCGGGTTCGATTCGTTCTTTGCAAAACTTTTTACTAGAAAGTCATTTTGCAAAGAAGAATGGCAAAGAGACTGCTTTAGAGTCTTACAATTAAGACAATTAAGACTTGTTCTCTTGAAAGCAATCTTTCTTCTTACAAGATCAAAAGTCTTCATTATATCCTATTTTTCGAAACATCTTCAACTTTCAAAAGAACTCCAAAGCGAAATCCTCTAATCCCCTCGTTTTCTCCAAAACTAAAATCTTTTGAAATTTTAATGATCCGTGTCGAGATTTTGGAGGATTGGCCGAAAAATCTGACTCAAAAATTTCGCAAATCCATCTCTTTGAGGAATTTTTGTGAACGAATCTCCGGAAGTCTACACGAGCAGTCAAATGATTTCAAATATTTGAGAAAAAGACGTAGTTTCTCGTTTTTTCCCTCTCGGAAACACCTTTTCTTAAGAAAAATCGACAAGTTTCAGAAATCGGATCCTTTCTTTTCTTTCGAGAATTCTTTGAACTCTTTAGATTCTAGTTTTGCAACAGTTTTTTTTTCACTTGTTTCTTTTCACTTGTTTCTTTTCACTTGTTTCTTTTCAAAGTTTATTTCACTTGTTTCCTTTCGTTTGATCTAATTTGCAGCATTTAGATTAGCTTCTATTAGGTGTGTGAAAAAGTAATCCACGTTTTTAACGTTTAAATATAAAAGACCATAAGTTTCGTTAAAATAATTTTTATTCAACGAAGTAATCACCATTCGAAAGAACAACCTTTTGCCAACGTTCTACAAGTAAAGACATTCCACGATAATAAAAATCTTGGTCCTTAGAGGCGAAGAAAAGAGCAACCTCGGTTTTGACATCTTCTTCGGAATTGAATTGAATTGAACGGTTTATTGGCCAAAAAGTTAGACAGAGACAAGAATAAATAATAATCAGATGGAGAAAGGTCTGGACTATAAGGTGGATGTGATAAAACCTCCCATCCAACACTCTGGATTTTTGGCCGAGTCTGTAAAGAGACATGTGGTCGCGCGTTATCGTTCATGCGGTATCCATTTGTCCAAATTTTTGATAAAATTCATGGCATTCAAGCGTTTCCTTACGGTTGACCCATCACAATTTAATGTAAGGCCTATTTCTGAAGAGGTTGAACGAGGGTTTTCGAGAAGACAGCGTCTTATTTGGTCATCAGATAAAAATAAAAAACGTGGATTACTTTTTCACACACCTAATGCAATTTCTACGATTTGAGATCATTTTTTACTAAAAAAATTCAAAAACGGATCTTTATTCTCTGTTTTTTTAAAATTCTTTTCAAACTTCAAAACTTCAAACTTTTAAACTCTTTTCAAACAAAAGATTTAGTTGAATTTTGTTTAAATAAAGTTAGAAGCAAAGAACCAAGTAATCTGAAGTGAATCTCAAGTAAACAAAACCAGGAAATCATTGGAAATTGCTATCTCTACTTGAGAAAAATCTACTTTGGAAATGTTTACAGAATCGCTTCAGAATTTCAGAAATTTCAGAAATTTCAGAGTAAATTTGGGAAACAATGACTTTAACTTTAACTTTAACAATGACAAACAAATCAATTACTCACGAAAATCAACCATTTAACTTAACACTATTCAATCATTTATCATTTAAACATTTAAAAACAAATTGAAAAATAACTTAAAGCAAGACTTGACGCTAAAGTTAACATTTTAAACTTTAAGGCACTCATAGCCCGTTTGTTTTGATCTTTTAAATGCTTTGATCTTTGTTTTGATCTTTGTTTTGACATTTTAATATGTTTTGATCGTTGTTTTGATCTTTTAATATCTTTTGATCTTTGTTTTGATCAGCTTTATCCTCTAAATCAAGTAAATTGCCGTAATCTTTGTTATTTGTGATTCTACTATTTAAAAACCACTCTTTGGTTTTTAAACAGTAGAATCCACTCAACCACTTGCCTCAAAACTTTTGCAAATTCAAAATACAAAATCAAAATCTAGAAATTGCCAGAGATAGTTAAAAAATGATTCAGCTTCCCACAAAACGAGCATTCGTTTGCTTTTTGCTTTTTGCTTTTTGCGTTTTGCTAATCTCAAAGTTTTAAGGAAAAACTTCGCAGCTTTCATCAAAATGAAACTCATTTCGTGAAAAGGATCCCAAGAACTTTGATCCTTTTGCATGGCTCAAGACATTGGAGTCAAAGATTGGAAAAAAAAACGTGAGGCCAAATGGTTGATGGACGGGGACCCTTGTGTTCCCCTCTCTGGCTCTCATTTTCCCTCCAATTGTCGATGGGATTCATTTCTTTTCTCAGCTCTGATTAAAACTTTTGAGACAAAGAAAAGTTTGCAAAGGCCGTAGGGCTTAGGCGTTGAGTTTAAGAGTTAAGCTTTTGATTCTCAAGTAGTAGAATGCTTCTTTAGATCTTTAATATTGAAGAAATGCTCTGTTGAGCTTTTCTACAAATCTAGCTATAGACTATAGCTTTTCTACAAATCTAGAAATTAGAAGCTTTTCTACAAATCAACAGATTAGAGTGTGTTCCTCACGAGTAATGCATTTTTTAAAACGCACACTTGGGAAAAATTATATACGAGCCTTCTATACGAGCGGCGTACTTTTAGCGAAAATTCTGGCAAAAATGAATTGGCACAAAAGCGCCGAGCGCCGTCTTATATACGAGAGCTGGCTTATCTACGAGAGCTGGCTTATATACGAGCGCCGCCCTATATACG